ATTGATTTTGATGCAAATTGGTGGGGAAAAATTTACTTTGGGTCCAGAGTACAATGCTTAACCGAGCCCGACGGGCGAAGTTTTTATTTTCCAACAAAATCTCGAAATTTACGGGTATATTCTCCAACTATTCCGACCAACGAGGGACTTATTTCTGTTCTGCTACGGCGAATATTTAATCTTTAATATATAGAAATGCAGAAGATAAATTTGGACCTCATCATAAGTGTCTTATGACGTCACAATTGAATGTTATCCTCGTTCATTTGTATCTGAAAGATTAGAAATAGTGCATTGTAATATGGACCCAAAGAAATTTTTTCCCACCAGTTTACGTCACAATCAAATACTAGAATTCTAATTGAATGAGCATTACTTTTGAGATAGGATACATATTTAGGGACACATTGAAACCTTTCGCAGTGTGAGTTTTCTTTGCCTTGCCCTTGAACTTCTCGGTTAAGTATGATATTTTATATTTTGAGCTAAAATAGGAGCCCACGTGACTACTAAGGTTCTTATTCTTATCCTATTTGCCGTTTTTAAATAAGCACTACCTGTCTTTTGCATTTAATTACTGTTCAACGGGGAAGAATATCACAATTTGGGAAATGAAATGATGTTACATTACTCAATTTGATTATTTTATTTTGCAATGACGCCATTTTACACACTTAAGACTAAAATCATTATATAGCGAATTGTTAATATTCTGCTTGTAAATTGCAGATTGCATCACCTCTTTAAAGTGTAGCTGCATTGCTTTATTGTGTAAATATGATATAAAGAACTTTAACAAATCTGAACCAAAAGTATTATTATTCGAAAATTCAATAAAAACAATAAAGATACTTCGTAATGATATTCAAACTTGAAATTGACAATTAAATCCAAAGTATAAAATTTTGACACAAATGAATTTCCACAGAAAATGTAACGAATGCACTCTACTTCAATGTAAACTGATTATGACAATAACGATGTACTTTACCTTTAAAAGAGAACAAGAGAATTTCTACATGTACAAAATACACACAAATTAAACAGATCAGATGAAGATATGAGAAATATACTCTTCACTTACAGTGTGTGACAGCATATAAACAAGGAATTTCAAAAGGCGTAAAATTTATATTTCCCTGAGTGGGTCATACAAAATAAATATACAAATGTAAGAGTGGGCAAAAGACTAAATTTTGATGGGCTCCGTGGCCCTACGGTCGATTGATTTTTTTTTAAATAATTTTATTAATTTTGAAAGATACATGTATATATTAATATATTTAAATTTTCATTTAAAATTTCAGAATTTATTGTTAAAATATTTCTTCCAAATTTGTTGATTATTCTAATAACAAAATATGACAAAACACTTGATATTTTTAGGATGAAAATTCGTTACGGTTAATCGGTTACTCGGCTGGAACGATGGTAATCGGATAGAGAATCAGTCTGTAATCGGTTAGTCGAAAAAAAAACAACAACTAAATTTATACATATTTGAATGCGGTTAGAGAATCAGTCTGTAATCGGTTAGTCGGAAAAAAACTAAATTTATACATATTTGAATGCGATTTCCTGAAATTGCAATTTTAAAAATACAAAGAAGAACTTCTTAATGTAAGCGTTTTTCACTTATCTATTTAAGTTGATTAAGAGATAATAAAGGCTCTCCGGATAGACATCGTGGAAAGTAATTGGTTAGTTAGTGTGGTGTTAATTGCTGTTTAAACACCATGTCGTTACCCAGCCTTGTATTTCTTTAATGGTTTTAATTAATTGATCCTTGAGTTTACTGTGAACTGAATGTAACGTGTATTACCTCGTCAATTCCTCTCAGTGACCAATCAAATTATATAAATTACTAAATAAACACATTAAAATGTAATTAGCGACAGCTTAGATTTTTTCTGATTATGGTGACAATGTAGAATGAACTTGTGCGACATCTGGTCTGAAAAATTATATGAATGCATCGTTTTGATATCCCAGGTCACGTTTCGAGGATTTCTTTTATATATATATATATATATATATATATATATATATATATATATATATATATATATATATATATATATATATATATATATATTGATTGGCATTTCTGTCTTTAATAGTTTTTAAATGTCCCTCGTATAAGCTCTTTTGGTACATACATTGAATAGCCATTCCTTGTATTGAACATAAATCAAACCATATAAATTCAAAAATCATTAACAAAGATATATAATTTACAATAAGTATTCTTATGAAGCGTGCTTTCATTGTAGCAGCTTAGCAAAGAACGTTATCAATGTCTATGTGACAATGAATTTGTACTTCCTTGCAATGTTGGCTAAATATGTCAATGTATTGCATAAGCAAATTGAAAAAAAAAAAATAATATCAGTGTAGAAAGCCAATACCTTAATATCAAGGTTTTACTTAAGCCTCCTTAAAAAAAAATTAATGACCTTCTTTTCAAAACAAAAACAATGTTTCTTACAATAATTTCAATTGTTATCATTAAAAGTTAAAGTTTTAATTAATATCCTTCAAATGTCTAAAATGCACTTTCTTTCCTATTTATCACCAAGAATACTACATAAAGATCGTTAATATGATTTATTAGTTGATTTTATGCAGATTACAAAGTGATTACTATTACAGGTAATTGTACCGAAATACACACAGAGGTCAATTGTTGACAAATTTGGTTTTAAAGCATATAATATTAAAAAAAATAAAAGATATGCTTATCTCACTGGGACAAATTGAAACATTTCACAATTAAATCTATAAAACATAAAAAAGAAAATGATGTTAAAACCTCATATTTTACCGATTGACTATTTTAATATGATATTGACGAAGAACTGGGTATCTTCATTGAATAAAATTACGTACATGTAAATATTTTCAACATCATGGAATTTTATGAAATATGAAAATAACGAACAGTAATCAATCTCAAAAGTCAATTTAAACAATGCAATTTTGGAGCAGAGCACGTATGGTCCTCTAAAAAACAGCAAAGGTGGGATCATCTATTTCTACTATTTTACAAATTTAAGAATTTTGACTCTTAAACAGTCCATCAAATATGAAAAATATCAAGTAACTCGTTTTAGACATATATGTATAACCCTACAAAAAATATCAAGGAACAAAACAAAAACAGTTACAATACAATAAGTATTCTTATGAAGCTCATCTGGATTCACAAGGATCTCTTATTTAATAGAAATACATATACATTGAAATGACGAAACTCTTTATACTTATTACCCAACAGTAAGTCTAAGACATGGCTGCATGAACATTCTGGTTTGAATTTAATTTGTTAAAAAAAATTTTTTCTATTCTCCAGGGAGCCTTTATGTATTATTTTAAACTTTTCATAGTAATGTGTCCTCAACTCTAAATAATCCCATTTCCTTTCGAACAATTACCGGTACTCAGCAAAACTACATAAGGTCACTTGCAACTAAATATGAAAATTTTAGCATTGCTAGTTAAAGAAGATTCTTTATCGGACAACTCCCTAACATTTCACAATGTTAAGTGATTTTAATTCATACATATTTACGTTTTCTAAAATTAAAATTTTGTAAAATTACATTGTTTTCAATCAAGTCATCTTTAATCATTCATGCAATTCTTATTCATCAATGAATCACACTGTACACAATATAATTACCCTTTAGGCTCTCGTGAACGACTGTTGTAAAAGTATGTCAACAAGAAAATCCTTAATCAGAAAGATTTACTAAAACCAAATGTACAGGTCAATGATCATTATAGAGCTGAGATGATCGTGCTTAAGCTGGTTTACTACTGCTCCTGGAAAAAGAACATTATTTTGAAATAGTAAAATTAAATAAAATATTTGTATTGTCTGTGTGTTCTTTAATTTTAGGATTTTCATGATTGGAAATAAATTATATAAATAACTCTTAATAGTACAGGGAGGAGACGACTGAATACACGTGTTCACATTTGCTCATGTTTATTTATAATTCTGTCCGTAATATTTTGCAATATCGACAAAGTTTTTCTTATAAATTACTTTGCATAAAAATTCACTATTGTCGACATGTGTATAGATACCTGCATTTGAAAACTGTGTTTCTAAATGTAAATTGCTGGAATTTTTAACATTAGAAAATCTAATGCCTACATGTGACATCTTGCTAATAAACATGATGAAGGTTGTGATGTATTGAAAGAAATTTTTGTTCTCATTTGCTTCATACATTTAAATTCTGTGAATTCCTGTCCTTGCCAACTCTCAATACAATTAATTCCATTATTTACTAGCTAAAACAGCGTTTTTATACTTTGATATTTTCAAAACTCTATAAATCTAAAGAAAAAAAAGAATAGTACATAGGTTTACAAAATATTATTTGTCTTCTGTCGACAGTAGTCGGAAGGCACTTATTTCCTGCTACAATGTATTATGAACCAAATATGCTCTTTGAGTATTTTTTTCTTTAAAAAGTATGTCATATTCATGTTTCGCAATTACAAAGGAACACGTAAAACAGGGAATTTAAAAAAAAAAAAAAACGAATACCACCCCCACCCCAACAACAATTTCCATTATCCCTATTTTTGTTTCAATTTTAGATATTATATAGTTCAATTTCACATATTTCGAGAAGCAAAAAACATATCAGTTTAAAAAAATGTGCTTAAAATAAAACAAAAATAATTTGTTATTTTCACTGTGCTAAAATAGCTGAAACTAAAGAATACCTGTAGGTTGAAAGAAATAATGAATTCGGAAAACCAAAGAAAAAGTAATAAAAAGAAAATCAAATGTTTGGGATTTATTTCACTTCTATGACAGGATTTGGCACTCCTAGAAATTTTCAATCAGCAAAAAATCGGGAGTATTCATGACATTACATATCCTATACTTGCTCATTCAAAATTTATTTAAGAGTACTAGTATCATATAACAAGAAAAGAAACGGTTAATAACGTAGTGAAAATATTTGGTAGCTTTTTTACCTTGGCTTTGTGTTAGTAGTTATGTTGCATTTGTCATAGCATTCATCATTTCTTGTTTTAGTGCTCCATTGCTCAACCTCATAACGGCCTGAAAGTTAATAAAACATACTTATATGAAATTAATAATACTTAATGATTATTTTCCGAAAACGAATCAGGTTTAGAGTTTAGTGTATATATGCTATTTAATATCACAGTTGTACTACTTTTTGTATTGTTATTACTATGAAACTTTTTCTAACCCCATCGAGTGAAAAAGAGATAAAACTGTCAGAGCGACTCCGTCTTATGTAACTGTACCCCCCCCCCCTCTCCCAACACACACACACCACTACCACCACCTCATCATCATCATCAAAAACACAAACCGTATTTAATGAACTTATATCAGAAGGCCATCTTTCTCAGTCCATTTTTCACAAAAATGCATGATTTCATTTATTGATCGACTGTACATGTATATTTTCAGTTCTTGGACACGACACGTGTTCATACGTGTTGATACTATAAATAGAGGGATTTAAAATTCCAACATCACATTCAAAATAAAAACAAATACGTACGATTTATAATTTCGATTTGTAAGCAGTGATTTTTTGTTTCATGATTTGTGCTATAAAATGTGATATTATAAGTTAATATCACCTCTAATGTGCACTTTTTCTTTTAATTGACTATTACTTTGCTAGTTATCAAAACTCAAGTTTATTCAACTGATCAGGTCACCGACTGGTTTCGCTTCGTTTCATATAACTTATGTAAACACTCGCAACTTCCGTATCAGGTGTAAATTGTAATGAAGTGATTGAAGTTACTAAATAGAAAGAGAAAATTAGAGCTATCACTACTCAATTTAAAAAAAAATGGTTAATTTAAGTTAAATATGTATCTCATAAGTATTTGCATGTGTCATTAATGACGAAATTCATAAAAGAGTCTAAATGCTCAGTACAATGAAATGTATGTTTTTAAAATTAATTGTATGTACCATTACAGCTTCCCTTTTGTTTTTAATAATGAAATGTGATGATGCAGCTACTTACTCAAAAATTGCTTATATAGTCGTTAAATAGGATCTATAAAGATAATTTTTCCATAACCATGAATCCCATGCAAAGCAATTTTCCATAAATATGGCTTACGGTGATACTCTTGCGTTGTAGATAAAAGAGAAATACTTCAATTTATATATTTTATCGGGTAATTGAGTGAAGTATATTTCAAATACAGTGCAGGCCATACCTGAATATATCGTATAAAACAATGTACCATTATACTATACATGTATATACATGCAATTTAAACAAAAAAACCCTTTCTTTTTAAGTAAAACCAGATGCTAGAAATATCACAGCAAAGACACATCGTATCAAATGTACCGCAAAATATACAACCAATCTACATTTTGACACTTCTTTTTGGAAAGGTTTCTTTTAAATATGCAGGTCTGACTCTACAGGATCATATGGACATTAATAAAATCTAAAATTTATATGATACAGAATTGAGTAATGCATCTAAAATTACATCAAAATATAAATACAAGCCAATTTAAAAATAACTACGTCATCACTTATTTATGGAATTAAGGTAGACCTCATTTGTGGTTCGATATGAAAATCAAGAATATTTTAAAATTAAAACATTGAAGACGGAATGAAATAAAAAAATATTTATGATTTCGCGCTTGGGCCTTAAATAACATTGAACAATTGAGTCTTTTTAAAATGTTTCCTGAAATTCTTTATATGATGAATATGTAAAAGATTAGTAAGATAAAACCCCTAGGATAAATAATTAGCTGATTGTACAACTTTCTTTAAAGAAGTTTACCTTTTTTTAAAGTCTAAACAGAACACATACAAAGTGGGGATATCTAAACTAAGATAACTTTATAAGACACCCTTTTAAGACAGATTGTATATTACTTCAGCAAAAAAGAATTAAATCAAATGACATCCTTACCAAACACGAAGACCAAGGGCCTTAACGTTCACCTACATATAAGTATAATTTAATAATTAAAACAAAACAAGCTGATAAATGAAGCTATGCTGCCCGAAAGCAAAAGAAATAGGATGATCAGCTATCAGCAAAATATTAATTTAGTACTCAGAAACAAATATTAAAGTTCATCTTTTTATGTGCCTGTACTTTCCCCCATTTGTCACTATTCTCATGCTGACTAAACAAAACAATAGTTTTAGAGCACTATTGGTTAACACATTTCACCCCCCCCCCCCCAACATTGGCCACTGTTAGTCTTTGAAGATTATTTAATATACAAAGATACAATATTTTTGCAACATTTTCATTTATCTATTATTAAAAGTAATTAAATATATAATTAAAGTATATTAAAAAAAATGGCTGACAATTAAACCTAGGAAAGTACTTTTTGTATAAAATATTATAAAAATTCTTGTAATTCTGTTAACTGTTAATCAATTTACCTTTTAAGTTTACATTATTTACAGTGATTAACTATCAAAGGTGAATAGCGAAGGGGAATAACTTTTATCTGTAGAAATTAATAAATTGACCAAAGGGTACAGAATTTCAAAATCTGGAAAAAACACCCTTGCTTATTATACAGTACCGACCAGACACAACCTAACAGAAAGCGAACCCAAAGCGCACCCCGGGTTCGCTTTCTGGGTTCGCTTCGGGTTCGCTTGGGGTTCGCTATAGCTGACCCCGAGCGAACCCGGAGCGAACCCGCAGCGGACCCTGAGCGAACCTGCAGCGGACCCCGAGCGAACGCCGAAAGCGAACCCCAAATTCAGTAGCGAACCCAGAGAGCGAACGCGCGTTCGGTGTTGCGTAACAGAGCTGTCAATCAGGATTAGTGATAAAACGTGTTAACCAATCAGCGGGTCGACCAATCAGCATGCCAGTTTGTCATTCGATGTAAATAAAACATTGTACAAGCAAAGCGTGTTAATTTACAGTGTGAAACTATTTCTAACATTATCAAAAAAAAAATTGAATTAATATATTTTAAATATCTAGGTTGCATATTATATTTACACATTTATTTTTTTTTATTTTCAAAATCCATTAATATACATTGCGTAAATTGATCAGACAAAACATACCCTAATGTATAAAAGAAAAAAAAAAGAAAGCAATGGTTATTACAATTGTTACTAAAAACAAAAAACAAAAAAATGGTTTTTGACAAATTATAGCATTTCATCATCTCAAGATACTGTACAAGATTATGTTTATGTATGTGCTATTATTCAATTATTTTATTTTTATACTTCTAATGTACATTTTCGTATAGATCCTGATCAACATCAAAATAACTGATCTTCTTAATCGAAAATAAAAAAAAAATATGAAGGTACAGACGTTGCGCACGGTGTTGGTACTATAAAATCTGACTCTTTAGATGTCGTAAAGAAACTGGCGTTTTCAAGATGATAAAGTTACTAGAAATTAAAAATGAAATTAATTATTTTATCCAAGGTAATAAATTATTCTAAAAATTCTCTTTTTAATAATCTAAAAATATCTTAGCTATGATATGGCTTTATTCATTATTGGTTATTACGGCGAGATTCCCGTGTCCAATGTTACATAAATTATTGTTCGCGCAACTACAAGATATAAAAGGATCCACTTCCAATCCTCTAAATTAAATAAAATTTAGGAAATATAATAATATGTATGCATTCTTTGTGATGTTGTTGAATTTTTAGCATCATTTTCTCAATTTCACGAGTTTGGGCTGTATCTACAGTGCGTAAGTAATATGTCCAACGGGAAAAAATCGTTTCCTAAAGTTGACATTAGCCCGCATGGCGATGTGTACGAGACATAAATGCCAAACAAAGATAAATTTTGATGAATAATCTTTAAGTACATATGTTTCTAAAATTAGTTATGTTGATACATGTTATATAACTGCTGATACGTTAATATTAGTAAGGCTTTGTTAAGTGTAGCCATTTTGTTATGCACGTACGAGTCGCTTACTATTACTTAATATGTCTCAGTTACATATCAAATATACATAAATTAATGTCATATATATATACCAATCATTACTGTATCTTGAAAGAACATTTCATACTGTATTAGATAATAACATAATTTTTACGGTTATCATCTACATGAAATAAACGCAAGCATTAATATAGATGTAGCCATTTTGTCACAGGTACGAAAAACGTCATTTTACACACTACATATATACGAATGACGTCGGGAGCGTCAAATTGTATCGCCGTGCTCTTTTTTTCCCAATTTTCTGCAGGTCCGGAGTACCAAGTAGGGTAAAAAGTCCTTCTCCAATTATTTTAGAACAATCTTTTGTTTTAAATATTCTGAAAATTTTCATTCAAAGGCCGATACCCCCTTTTTATTTTGCTGTCGCAATATCTAAACATATATCACGTTATTGTTCTCTCTCTCTCTTTGCTAAAATGAGAATGAGAGCCCCCCCCCCCCCCCCTCCAAGAAAAAGTAAAAGGGTTTCTGAATTTTATTTTTTCTGGCTAGTTTTTTTTTTCAATTTAGTAGGGTTTTTAATAGCGAAACATCCCCATCCCTTCTTTTTTGCATGTCAGTACCCCCCCCCCCTTCCCGATTTATAAAGAGAGCTTAACTACTTGGGCTGAAGGAAAAAAAAAAACAAGAAAAGTTTAATTCAGTATAAGGCCATTTAATTTTTTTTTCCGTTTAGCTACCTCCTATAATTCTAGAACCTATCTACCGATTCAAAAAACATATCAGTACAAAAGCCCAAAATTAAAACAAGAACTTTATACCGGTCTTTCCCCTCTAAAGTCTTTTTCGGAAAACTGGCTCTTGAGTATAGTTTCCCCTTCATCAGAAATCCCACACCACATTCAATTTTCCGGGGAAATCCCTACTCTGTGTAACAGTTATAAATTGCGTTTCCTCAAGAGCCAATTTACCCCTTCTGCTATAAAATATCATGCCAGTACTTATATATGAGGAGGGGGGGGGCGACATATGGTTACAAATGTACTTTCTGTAATTTTTTCACAGGTGCTCTCGCAGTAGACAATCTTAATGAAACTTCACAAAAATTGTAATAAAAAAAGTCTAGTTGTG